ATGCTGAAAAAGATGAGCAGTTAGTTTTTGAAGAAATCCCACAAGCTCAATATGCCAAGAAAAATACAGTAACGAAGGAGCACCAGATTGAACAACCTGGGTTTTAACTAAGTGTGGGGGAGAACAAATTAATTCTTATTCCATACAGATCACCCCAGTTTCTTTGAATCCTGAGATGATTTCTATTCCTTATTCTTTAAAGAGCTTCATTTTTGGAAAGGAAATGTTTGGTCTTAAGGATTGTATGAATGGTTTTTTATGTTTCTAAATGATGAGTCCACAAATAAATCTTTGGTTTGGAGGAAATCAAGTCTGCAAACTGACCATGAACACTTGTTTATTGTTAAGACATTTTCAAATGATTTTAATTTCAAAAGGACTAAGTTTTCCATCTTTGAAGAATCTGCTGTAACACAAAATTTTGTTCCCTCGATTGAACTCAAAATTATTTCAACAGAAATTAGGGAAGCAACATGATTTAATGCAGATTTAAACCCTTTTCCTAATGATAAAAAGGGACACACTTTCACTTTATTTGCTTTTGATAAAGCTGCCCTTTTTGAAAATGCAATGATTAAAGATTTTTTGGCTATTGAGCTTAATACTATGAATATGAGGATTAAAGACTGCGAGGTCATTGACTTCAAATTCTGTTTTTAAGGTCAAACTAAAGAGGAGTTTTTTTTCAAACAATTCTAAAGGACAAATTTCATATGAGATAGAACTTGATCCTTTTCCAAAAATTAAAGATTATATTGTCTAAAATCTCGAGAGACAATATGAAATTTTATTTTTTGTTAATTAAACTACAAGAGCCCACCAACATGCTTTAAGAAATGAAAATCATGTGTGGCACATAGTTATGAATGGCGAGCGCCGTACTCGCCTATGGCGGTTATGGCGCTGTGGCGAGGCTGTAACGCCTGGATTAGGCTGTGCATGGCGATGTCCTTGAGGCGATGAAAAGCGTTCGCCATTCTCGCCGCGTCTTATGGAGTTTGGCGAGTGCAATTTTCGCCATACAGATCTGTGCAACTTATTTTCGCTGTTGAGCCTTAAGAATTAAATGGATTGATGAATCTGGGCTTAAGCCCGTTTGTAATTAAATGATTTGATCGTTGCCTTGAGTCAGTTTATCCATTACCTTAATCGATTGTATTCCCTTCCCCTCTTCCGTCTTCTTCCCCTATCCTCTCTTCTAATCAACCATCGGTTGAGCTTCCCAGCTTCGACTCTGCTCCCACTCTCCGAAGTCGGAGGTTCATAGCGTTTCTCCTTCTCTGAGTAGCAACTTTCGAGCGTCCCTCCTTGGTCAGCGACTCAGTGCAGCCGCATCAGGTCACTAAGGAATTGTTCTTAATTTTTTAATTTGTGTATAATTAAATAAATTAATATTAATAGTTACTATTTCTTTAGTCTAATAGTTACCATTATATTTTCAATTTGTGTATTAATCTTTAAATTTACTGTTGAAGACTTTTTTATATGCCCTGCATTATATATATATATATATACATACATACATGCATGCATGCATGCATACATGCATACATGCATACATGCATACATACATGCATGCATACATACATGCATTACATACATATACATACATACATACATACATACATATATATATATTAATATATATATATATATATATATATATATATATATATATATATATATATATATATATATATATATATAGACACACACACACACATACATACATACATATGTACATACGTACGTACGTACATACGTACATACGTACACACACACACACACATACGTACATACACACACATACATACATACATACATATATATATATATATATATATATACACACATATAATTGTGAAACCTAGTTAGGTACCCTTTATATTTGTGCACCTTTTCCATCTATAAAAGTTGTGCATTGGAGATTGGACCTGGTACACCTTTAAATATTTCCATTCTTGCCATTACGTCGTTGCTGGCCATAAACGCACAATTTTGCTCCAGATTTGATTTTCCTCTTTTTTTATTAATACCCCCTTAAATGCGTACTCATTTAACGCCTTTAATTTACTTTCTTTTTTATAATAACGCATGCACAGTTTCATATGTGTGTTTTGGAATTGAAGAGATTTCACCCTAACTCCGCCGGGATGGATTTCAGGTGATTCTCCAAAATCTGTGCTAGCTCCCCCAAATATGCAAAGTCATAAATTTTTCACCCGTTCAGTATTGTTGCGATCTGCAATGGATGTGGTTATTATATCAGATCTCTTCCTCCTTGCCGCAGCTCCTTGTCCCAGACTGGCATACTTTGAAGCTGAGATTTCACTAAATTAGAACATCTGCTTGCAGGTCTGTGAAATGTTTGAATATCATTCTTATAGCCTTTTCCTGAATTTCATTAAGCTTTTCCATGCTGTCCAGCATACTCACATATTATTAGGGTTTAGCAATCATGCTGCTGTGTTCTTCAGTAGTCATTTTTCCTTTAAATTGATTTTTGAGATATTGTGTTAAAAATTATTGTATTCTGTCCTGGTAGTCAGTATGATTATAAGTTTAAAAATTAGAGGAATTTATACTTGGAACATTCAACCATTTCTCAAAATTTAAGGCTCCCAACTTTGAAGTAATAACTTATTTATTGAATAAAAAAATTTACCAAGCTTCACGTGGTCAGCACCATAACCTATTTTCTTATCATTTAATGAAATTTTTTTTAAAAAATAACCCAGCTTTTTAAATCTATAGGAGTTATCTGTGAGGCTGGCTTAAGAGCTCTAGGCTCAATCTCTATCACTTAAATTATTAGATTACATATAAAGGGCCAGTTCCCCATTCGTAAAATTGACGGTTTCTACCCCCCTAATCCTCCCCCTAGTAACCCCCCCCACCCCCTTCAAAGTCAAAATTAACTTGGGTTTGCAATTGAAGGGGGTGGGGGTAGGGTGAGAGGGTTTACTGGGTCAAAAGAGGTAGGAATCGACAATTTTATGAACGGGGAACTGGCTGGGTCATTCCATGTCGTGATTCTCAATGTCATGGGAACCAACCGAGTTAGGTTGTTAGAGAGTGTAATTTAATATTTCCATCATCACCTTAATCTCAACTTTGTTTTGAATGTGGTTTTAGTGTCATACTAGGAAGTATTGACTATTGTGCATAGGTTTTGTTCATCTTTTATTTTTTAAATATGCTTTTTATTGTGGTTTTCATAAGGTAAGCAAATAACTTTCATGCACTTTGGGTTGACGCACTAACTTAGCACATCTGCTTCGAGGTATGTGAAATGTTTGAATACCATTTTTTTGTTCTTCCTGAATTTAAATAAGCTTTATCATTCTATGAATTCAGCATCATGTCGTGCTATTAGGGTTGAACAATCATGTTCTTTAGTAGGCAAATTTTATTTAAATTAATTTTTAAAAAATTTGATTGTGTTTAAAAGTATTTTATTATGCCATGGAAGTCAATATTAGTAAAATTTTAAAAACTATATGAATTTATATTTCCAATAATCATCCATATGTATGAAATCCACAAGAATAAGGCAATCAATTTCTGTCAGAGTGAATTAGAGGAGCAAACTGCATATTATAGAATTGTTTTTGTATATTCCTACAATCTCATACAACCATTACCATAGGTAAACCATGGGTTTGGGCGTAGACTACCCTTTTGAAGAAATCGTCTGATTCCCTTTTTTCCTTTTCAATTTGAATAGAAAAAGTCAAATTGAAATCTGAATATGAAGGTTATGAACATGTATTTCAACAGTCACTTAACATGTTCTCTCATGACATTAAACAACCCTGGTAATTTCTCTTATCATAATCTTTTCATGAACACTCAATAATGTTGTGTGTTTCTGATAATACAATTCTACACTTAATTTGTTTATCACTTATTTCAGGATTTCCCTATTCCAGATGTTCGAAGCTGTACATCAGGTCCTTGGCGTCCCATTTGGATCGTACTTTGAGGTGCGTGCTATGCTTGTTTTTATCTCTATTTGTGTATTTGCTTAAAATTACAAATTCTTTTGAGTTATTGTGGTTAACTAGCATCTAACTTTCATGGTTGTGGTTTGAGATCTGAAAATTCTCAAAATCTAGACAACAAGAATTTACAATTCAAAACGAAATACATTTGGCCAGTCTTTTCCATAGTTGATTCATGAACACATTGGAGTTAAGATTAAGATCTGGATGACCTTGAAGGGGCATACAAATTGTAAGATTGTACAACACACATGTAGATATTGATTGTAGGGTGGGTAGGAGATGAAAGTTTTGAAGTGCAAAGTGAAAGTGCAGCGCAAGATATTGTTGTGTGCATAAATTAAAAACAAAGGATGCTATAAACAAAGACAAAACTGCAGCATTGAAGAGCAAAGTCAAAGTGCAGCAAAAGTCTTTCAAAGACCCTTGCTCTTAGATAGCCACTATATTGGAAGAGTTTTCTTCTTCAAAGGTTTGCTTATTGCAATTCTTTGCTCCAAGTTAGAACTCTTGCTTATAATGACACGAGTTATCTTTTCCCTAAATAAGTGTAGTTTCATGCTGTATTGAGATCAATAAAATTTATATTTGGGAAATGGTAGTTCTCTTGTAACCTGCTGTATTGGCCGATTTATAATTTGTGATTTTTAAGAAATCCGGTCTGTCTGCAGCACACTTGTAGATTTCTTTGCTTAGTCTGGTCACTAATTTATTTGCCTTTCTTTTGTATTTGTCCTGGTGAATGGAGTACAACAACAAACTGATGTTTATGATTTCTTTTTGAGTCAATTCGACTTCATGCTCTGTTATTTAGTAGAACCATTATGATTTCTGCAGGCTGTTTGACATCTTCTTGGCAGGGGAATGAAGATCTCATTATAGTTCATGATCCTCTAGAATATGGAAACTGTCGATCATCTCAAATTGGGAGTAAAAAAGAGCTCTTTATAGCAAAACATTTAAATTGTGTCATGTTATGTGCATTCCTATTACCATTAGTATTCTTACAATAATAATGACGTGCGACTGAAAATACATGTGCGTATCTGCAGATACCAAAGTATGGAATATTCGAGAATGTGAACTCACTGAAGGATCTAGCAAAAATGCCACATTGGACACCTGAGAGACCCTTGAGAGTAGCTACGGGTTTCACATATGCATGGTGTACTGCAATGTGACATATTCATCTTCTTTTTCCCACATGCAGAGTATATGTTATTGTGGTCACAATTATTATGTTTAAGTTTGATGATATTTTTCCCTTAACATCCTTCATTTTTTTCATAGATGGGGCACTGAAGGCTACTCTAGCGGTAAGACCAAATCTACCTATTTTAAACAGATTCAGTTTTCTCAAGTCCCGTCTTATTGAGATTGACTGTTAGTTTTCTTAAGTCCAGTCTCATTAA